GTATTAAATACGTATGATGCACGATCCCTCGCATTATTACGAATCAACTTAACGGCCTGCTCCCAGTTGGCTTGTTAGCTCAATTGGTAGAGCGCTGCACTAGTATCGCAGAGGTCAGTGGTTCGAATCCCGTACACGCCTGATTTTTTTCAGGTCTGATTTTCGCTATTATTGCATAAATAGCGCTATCTATTGCGAAAGATTGCGAAAGTAGGTTTTGTTAACATTTGTCGGCTGGATAGTGATTTACCTGTTGGATAGTGTTTTGTTTCCTGTGAACTGGGTCCTGGATCCTGTTGTAAAGTTCAGTTGAGTGTTGTAATAAGGTCTGGGCTACGCACCCTGGAAGGGGTCACTGTGGTGTATTCACCCCTGAGTATACCGGCCGCTTGAATCTCACTGTACCTCTCTCTGCCCGGGGGTACAGATTGGTACCAGCAAACGGTTAGGAAAGCCTGAGAAAATACAGAGGCTAAACCTGTGTTGTACTGGTCATCCCGTCCAGCTGCCGAAGTAATCCTTCAAGTTGGGTGTTGTTATGGAAACTAAGAGAATCTCCGGCGGATTAAGGCCACTTAGCTAGCGTGCAAGACTTTGTTAATTATTAAAAAAAAAAAAAAAAGAAAAAACACAGACAGACATACCCAGGCCCACATTCAGGATATCATAGAATCGCCGCATACCTTGAGTATTCTATCTCTTAACGTAACTTGAGTTTCAACGCTCCTTTTATGGAATTTTTTGAAAATGACCGTATTTTGTTGTAGGTTAAACGGTATGTGTGGCACTGGATACTCTGACGATCATCTGGGGAGAGAACAGGTATAATTTATAATTGTCTTGTTCTCTCTCTCCAATGTAGAGTGTTTATATTTCTGGTAGGACTACATTACTCATTGTCTGCACCTCTTACGTTTTTTTTTTTTTTCTTATTCCAAGAACAACCCAAGCTTTGACGGAAATCATTTTTGACATCGGTTACTCGCCATGTCCCGCGCTTTAGGCCTTTCGCTTCTTTCCTCTCTCTGATTTTTCTTTTGTGCCGAATGGCCTTCAGTTGAGATTAGTTCTGTTTTGTTATTACGACACCCAGTCAAAAAGCGCTCCACTCTCAAGTTCTAAGAGTAGTAAAAATATAGAGTCCGATAAGCCCAGAGATATGAGAAAATCGCATGGCTATGTACGGAAGGGCGTGAACTGGTGTTCGTGTGAAGCGACTGATATCCTGCCGATGATTGAATTCTCTCTCGCTTTTCTCTAGTTGAGCCCTTTTGATATTTTTGACAAATAACTTACTGGTGTGCTTCCAGTCTATTTATTGTTTGTTTTAGTGTATAGAGCCGAAGTTTACATTTTCTTGAAAACACTGCCAAAATATCATATCACTTCAGTCCACTTACAATCGAGAATTTTGCCTTCTTCCCTTCTCAAGAATGGAGTACTCAGGACAAACTGCGTTGATTGTCTGGACAGAACAAACACTGCACAGTTTATGGTCGGCAAATGTGCTCTTGGTTTTCAAGTGAGTAGGTCATTTATGTATCACTGTCAGGCTTGTAAATGTAATGAATTATCAATATTTGGATTAAGGGAGTGGTATTTCAACGCGTTTACAGACAAAACGGTAACAACGCGTCTACTTAACCTTCTGCAGAGCGTTCACACGTTCATAGACACTCGCAGTTTAGCGGTGTGTTTGGTGGAGTGTGTGTGAACGTTTCGTTAATGTGTCAGGGAACGAGTTGGTGGTGTGCCGATTATTAATTCGTCGGTCACTGATCGTTACATTTTAATAAGTATAGCTGTAAGTATCCTACGATGTGAATTAAGATTCTTAATTTTTAATCGCAGACATCCCTATTACCAAGATTAATTGCTATCACGCTGTTACTACACGCTGAAATATCTCCTTATTTTCTTTCCAGTTGCATGCGTTGGGAGTGATTGACAAACCATTTCTTCAGTTTGACTCGGATGCCGTGAGGTGCGTTTGATCATCCTCACCTCGTTTAAGGTTCTGTGAATTGAGGACTGCTGACTTAAGTACTAGCTGGGGAAAGCTTAATCCTCAGCACGCTTGTTCTTGGGCAAGACACTGAGTTCTCCCCAGTTTTTCCATCCAGGAGTACTATGATACTGACAGGGAATAAACGAATTGACTATTACTTGATCAGTGGACGATGGTTCTATCCAGGAGTTTTACAAGAATTGTATCTGGTCTTTTTTCCTCTTTAAATAATTCTGAATAGGCCTGTTCTGTTGGCTACTCTGTTCGTGAAATGTAGATTATTTATGATCGTTGTATTAAGGTCTTTTGCCGTGTTTTCTCAGGATTTTAGAAGATCTTTACGAAGCTCATGGTGACACTCTTGCTCTACAATATGGAGGATCACAACTGGTACACGGGTAAGGCATTTGTAATCTGAGCTAGGGAAATCCTATACAAAGTTGATAGAAATGCGCGGCAATCCAGAGACCAATTTATATCGTTAGATTGACGCTGTAATAGGAACCTGAGTTCCCTATATTTAGTGTTTCGTTTTTCCTTATGCCACGGTCCTTTTCTTCTCAGAATTCGCACATATCGCAAGGTATCGCCGTTCACTTCTCATTCGAGGGATATAATGCAGACAGTATCTCGTTATTTCAGTAACGCATTCACAGGTAAGATAAGTCTAATTTTCCAAGTTGTTTGGTGCTTTTTTTTTTTACCCTGTCATCTAAGTAAGTGTCTCTTCATGGAGCGCTTTTCTTTGGAGTAACCACAACGGTCTATTAAAGGAAAGGATATATATATTACTAGAAGGGAATGGAATTCAATTATAAACTGCGGCTTGAAGCTCAGCAAAACGCGAGTGACAAGTCGGGGTTGATGTTTTTTTTTTGTGTAAGTGATTGGTCGAGAATGTGGTACAACTGATTTCTAGACCAATTAGAGCCCGTACTTTAAGTAGGCTAATGCAACAAAATGTCACTTTTGCCAATATGACGTTTCGCTGTGAAATATAAGAAATTTCAGCTGTGCCCCCCACCTCCCCACCATCTCCCCCCTCTGTTTGGTTTTGAGTAATTTCAGTGCATTAGTTTCTAATTGTCTCTTGCCGGCCCTTTGCAGATGCCGACAAGCAACAAGCTATGAATCTGTTCCTTGGGATATTTTCACCGCTTCAGGAAAAACACAACATTTGGGAACTGCCTAGTGATTATTATTTACACCACAACACAACATGGGACTTAAGAGCGTCCAAGAACAGAAAAAGGTGACACAGCTTGGAGAGCATTGTGATCGAGTGTCGCAAGATAGTAATAAACGGGTCGTACTTCTTATCTGTTTTGTTTTTGCTTTTTCGGTTTGTTCGTTTTACTTTTTTTTTTTTACTTTGTTTTTCGTTTTATTTACGATTCATCCTTTTAGTTATACCAAGTGGTGGGATCAGGCTGTTGTCAATTCTTTGCCCCACCCTACTCCTGATGGTTTGTACACTCTAATCTTACTAGTATGACATTACATGTATTATGTTGTTTAAGTTAATCGCTACTAATACTTGTTTTTATGTCAAACTTTCCATTTTTCCATTTATGATCGGAACCCTTTCTCGCAATGACTCGCGAAGAGAAGGCTGTACCATAGAAACTACGTAACCTTCAAATATAGAACTGATTTACCTGATTTACTGATTTCTCGCAGTGACTCGCGAAGAAAAGGCTTTACCATAGAAACTACGTAACCTTCAAATATAGAACTGATTTACCTTCGAGGTAAAAATACAGTTCCCATGACTCCAAAATTCCGAATTTTACGAAGCCCAAATAATGTGTGTCCTTATAGTCAAACGACTCGTTATGTACACCTAGGGGTGTCTTGATTATCTTTGAGAAAGAGATGCTGTTACACAGATGAAGACTGAGAATATTTCCAAAACACCACAGTCTTCTTTTCAGGCATTCGTTACAGTGTAACGCAGTGTTGTGTGACACTTCGAAGAATCGTTGCGAAGGAGAGTAACATAACTCGAGATGAAATTAACAACACGCCACAGCGCACGGAATCAACCGCACACGCATTAGTTTTTCTACTTCCGGAAAGGTACTTGCACGCGGCACCGCCCTCGAACTTTGCGACATCATAGCTAAATCTATGGTGACAATTTTACAGAAACACCATTGGACGACGCAGGAAACGAGGAAGAAAAGGAAGAGACCAGGCGGTACTCAGATTCGGCAGATCATGAACTAGTTGACATGTTTTCAGAGTATTATCACCCGCATGATTTGACCGTCCTTGAGACTGTATATCCTCATCAGATGCAAAAGTCTTGCAGGTAGGTGATCAAAGCATGGTATCTTATTAGTGTGTCAGCTTAATCTCAATTAGAAGGGTTTTGAGAGTAAAGAAAATAAAGTCTTCATGGCGGTTGTTTACACTGTTCGCAGCCTCCCCTTTTCCTAAAGTCTAGTTATTATCTTGTTTTGTCGCCAAATTCTCAGGACTGTTTTCAAGGAATTTGAGCGGGTACTTTGGTGTGTCCAATGTGGGATGCTACCAGCTGTGAGGAGAGCAATGGGAATCTTTCTTAAAGAAGGCCCTCAAAGACTTGAATATTACTGAATGGTATTCTAATTTGTCATTCTTCTTGAAAGCAAACTGCTGTCCTTATTTTAGCACCGGACAATGTCACCTGAGACGATAAAGGATTATTCACGAATCTATCGCAAATGTTAAGGGGTTTAAAAAGTGATTTAAAAATAAACTAGTGGTGTTTGTATTTTCAGGGATTTCATGCCACCGACTGCTCATAATCACAGTCCATTTGTAGTGAGAGCTCCTGCAAAGTCACCCGGGTAAGTTATCGCCGGTCTGCATTCAATTAAGTGTCGAAAGTGATAGGGCTTTGTATTGGTTCAACTGCTCTGCCTGCTCCGTACGTCTAGAAAACGTGTACCACTCATCTAACCAATCAGATGCGAAGCTAAACCAATTGTGAGTAGTTAGTTACTCGCCTCCTCTAGTGCTTCAAACAGTTAGCTTGTTTTGACTTTGAATTATCTTTGGCTCCTTGTGATTTACTTTCCTTGGCAGCGGTAGCAAACTCCAACTATGACATGATGATGAACAATTTAAGTAATATCTCCGTTGATTGATTTAAGTTCTACAGTAAATTGTTTGAGCCGAGAAAATACGGTTAAACTACAAGCAGTCCCTCCTTTTCGACAAGATCCGTCGCGTGGGTCCACAAGAAAAAAAAAAAAAACGGCGAAGCGCTTCACGCGGAACTCTGGGCGTGAGGCGCACGAAAAGTAGTGCTACGATCAGTCGTGGAGTTTTTATTGTCCAATTGTGAAGAGTCCAGGAAAGACTGTCGTCGGTAGTGATGACTGACGCCTCGATTTTCTAACCGGATGTCATCTCCAGAGTCAAGTCTAATTATTGATCAATGACAAATTAATTTCCTAAACCACGTAATTACTAATAGCGATGATTGCTGTGAAGGCGAAAGTGATGATTTTTTCATTAAAGCCGACGCCCTGTTCCGACACGTAGAGCGGTTGGTGCTGCCCCCAAGCCACTCACTGTGGAAGACAGCAGCGATGACGGCTCCAGCTCAGATGATGACAGCTCAGCCATCTCTCTTCTGGAGAAGACTAACAGTACAAGCACTTGTGTTGTCTCTTTTCAGGTTTGCTACAGATTTTTTATTTGCCGTTTACGCTTTCTCGGGATCTTCAAAATGTTGAGAAATTTTTGTAGGCTTTTGAATTCCAGCGAATGTACTTAACTTCGAGTGTCAAAATAATAAAAATCGTGTCAGCGTTGATACAATTTCGGTCTTAACTACGTTGATCGTTAGAGTTGACATTTTCAAAATGTACCTTCTTCAGTTAATTGATTGATTGATTAATAGGTTAATAGAATCTACAATCGGCAACAAAACAATTGATACATTGATCTTTTCAACCCCCTATTACTTTAATTTTATCCCTTTTTGACCTCGTTAACCCTAACCATTTCGTCCCCTCTCACCCCCCCAAAGACAATGTGGTATCGTGATTCCATGAACTTTTAGTCAACATTGAGTGGGGGAGGGGGGTCTGGTAATGATTTAGAGTGTGATAGAAACATGACTGTTATTCTTTACATAAATAGAACTCTTCAAACATGATGTGTCAACTAATTTTGACGCTGTTAGTAGATTTGCGTAGCTGGTGATGTCTGGCTGTAATAAGGAATAAGCAAGAAAACATTCAGTCAAACAAACTGCTCCTGGAAACCTAAATGCTATAATAAATACTGAATACTAAATACTGTGATATGACTCAACAAAATTTGCTTCATAATGGTTAGGAGCTGTTGCCGTCTATGCAGGACATATATGGTGTTGGATTGAAGGAACCAAAGGATCGGAGTATGAGAGCTTACCAGAGGTACTTAAGTCATATACAATTTGGTTTCATCAACTGAGTTGAAAATGTAAATTGACCGCCATAAAGAATTTCTAAAGCTAACATTTCGAACGTTAGCTTTTCATCGAGCGAATGACCAGTGAGAATTTGAATTAAGTGTACGTAATCGGCGGCAAGCGCGAAAAAAAGACCTGTCTTTCCATTTCAGGTAATTGTTTTAAATCCACGTCAGTGTGATGATTCCTAAATCAGTATCTTTATGAGAAAATCTTAACCTAGTCTTGTTTTTGCGTAGGTTTGTTCAATTTGGAAAGACTTCTCTGCCTGATAAGGAGAATGCAGGAGTGAAACACATCCATTACGACTGGTAGGCAATTTACTTACAAATGGTTCACACGTTTTTGTACAAACATTCTTTTGCTTACGACGTGAACCGCGATCGTCGGATGTTTTTTACTGTTTTTGCATATCAACCAATCAATTAGAAATGGAATCTTTCTTTTAACAATTGAAATCTCTGATAAACCTCTGAGAAAAGAATAGAGATCATTCGGCTGTCGTTTGCGGCGTTTTTCACAAACGTCTGTTCCAAAGCTGACGCGTGAGAAATGTATCTGATTGGGGCTCAAATCCATTTTAAATCTCTCTGTCGCTTTTTAGTCGACATAGGCTTTGCAATTTGTTATCATCCAGCATTTAGGGAGGGAACTAATGGCACCGCAAGTTATTTTGGAGGGCTCAGGTCATAACTGGAAATTTTTTTATGAATTTTCCAACAAAATGCGTCCTTAGTTTTAGACAAAAAAGCATGTTCACTGCCTGAATATTTACTGAATATTTACTTTCTCTCAATGACGGAAGTGTAGTACAATTTTCTAAACGTCTTGCTTCTTGCATTTTGTTGGTATAGGGAGGCGCATAAACCCTTTAAGTTCGACTGTAATCATACAGTGAAGCTTTCCACAGTGGACCATCCATCGAAGGCCCTGTACAAAGCATATGTTCATGCCGGACAGAATGGTCGCTTTTGGACATCGCCTGTTAGTGTTGATGTCTATAGGAAATACGTTAGTAAGAACTATCAATGAAATTAAAGAAAAAGCAACTCTCCCTCGCAGCCCAGCCGCTTTCTAAGATGTCACGCAACGCTCCTGTGTGACATTGTTTAGAACGAATGCATTAGGAAACCAATATCCCGTTTTTGAGGGTGTGTTTTATTTTGTTATTTTTTCACTTGAAGGATCACTCAAATGATGAAGGATGACAGATAACCTCTATTTTTATGCTTGTTATGTTTACGGATTTACAAATATAAGTAAGTTACCTCTATGATAATGATGTAATGTTATAGTATTGGATTTGAATTAAGTACGCGCGGTCTCATCTGTCAATTGGTGTGTTAACACGAGGAAAAAATAACATGGTTGTGACGTTTTGATTCCTGTGAGAAATATTTTACTTAAGCAAGAGAGGACTTTTTTTTAGCCCCATCCGAACACTCAGGGTAAATTATAATTCTCGAAAGTTATGCAAACTCTCGACTGAATCTCGGATTCGCAGAACTTTCTCAAATCCTCCCAACTCCCCTCGTGTTTAGATGGGGCTAGATTTAAAACGGGAAAAATCCTCTATTGTTCAATTGTGTATAAACCGGTATTTACTAATATTTTTGTAAAAGGGATATTCAGAAGCAAGTTCAAAGCACTGCAAAAAAATTTCAGAGGAGTGAAATTTGTTAAATGAAATCTTTTTCATTTTTTTTTTTTTTGCATGAAAATGAAAATTGATATTTATGTTGACTGCCTTCAGCTAACATGTAAAATGTTCCACTGAACATCATCCAAGAAATTGAGATTTAAAGAAGTAAATGTTTGTCTCTGTGTGGTCTGTAAGTTTTAAAAGTGTGGGTATACTTTTAATATAACAGCAGCCAAATCAACATGACCAGTTTGTTTGTCCCTTTGAAATTCCTGGGCTTACACTGGCCGTGAAGGGAAGGAAGAGGATTCAAAAGGCTGTGCTTTCTCACAGAGTTAAGCGAAACTGTTCAAAATGAAAGCAAAGAGTGCTCGCGCAAGGTACTTAAACTGTAGTACGAAGGCAAATTTGGTGTTTTTTAGTATTTCTCCAAATGATTCTATTCTAAAGGACTAAATCAAGTTGAAAGCGGCGTTCAGCCAAAAAACAAAAAAGGTTTACCAATCTTAAGAGGTAAAGAGTGTTTTTTTTTTCCTTTTTTCCTTCATTTCATGGCGCTATTCAACAGTATATTGAAGTTTGCGCTGTGCTGAAACGTCCGCTGAACAAGAGCAATGCACTGGTATAGACGTTCCCGTAGAAGAACCTTACACGTACGGTCGTGCGCTACCAAATTTTGACGGCTAAGTACCGCTCTTTGTAAGTTAGGGGCTTCGTTGCGCGTGTACTTAACTCTTGCGCCAAGCTTCGCCACTATAATTTTATACGTGCCTTTATCCAGTCCGAAGTGGCCGAGTAAACCAGCTCCTTCGTCTGTGACATGTTTCGTCGACACTGATGCAGTTTGAAAAACAAAAGCACTTTCTTAACTTGAAATACCCATTGAAAAGAAAAACTAATATACTGGGGAATTATTGTTAACCTAAGTTATATGCTTCTGTAATGAATTAAAATTGCTGTTCAAGCAAATTTTTTCGAGTTCGAGTTCATTTTAGTTTAGTTTAGTTGATATTTTTGAGACAATAATCCTATTCAACTTTTTCAAGTTGAAAATCAGCCTAAAGTGAGTCATCCTACTTCGTTTTGTAATTGAACGAATCCGACCGCACTCGGGTGTGGATTATTTTGAAGTCGCCTTTTGAAGTTTGAAAACTCATTTGAATTACAAATAATATTTTCAAATTGATATTCGCGACTGCGCTGAGTCAGCTCAGTCTTGCACGTGCAAAGAGCTTGCCAACTTCAAGAAATTTGAGCGTCTTTTTGAGCTTCTTTGGGAGTAAAAAAACACGTCATTTCGACTCTATTACCTTGGATATCATCTGTTCTGTCCAGGACGGCAAGTGTTTCTTATGCTGGATCAGATGGTATAGATACCGTGTCAAGGAATAGAGCCTTTCCCTTTGTCACGTCGTTTCTTCAGGTAAAAAAAAAAAAACCTATGGAAAGATACGTTTGGATAGAAAGACAGTGTTCATCTTTCTCGTTATGATCCTTAATTAATTTACAGAGTCAGATGAAAGTAGGAAGAGCGTAATGCACGTAGCACAGTGTAGGACAAACCCTTATTGGCAGATGCCATGAACAGTTCTTCTTGAACGTGACTTTAGTGCCAGCGCAAGAAATTTTTACTACATGCATATTGTTGAAGTACTTAAGGCTTATTTATTTATACCTCTTTTAATACCTGTACATATTTTCTAACTAGCTTTTATGGTTATATTGTTTTGGCCTTAAGTGTGTTGTATACGTACTTATTCTTTTCGCGATTTAGAGGTCGACTAAAGTTCGAAATGAAGCAATTATACTACTCCATATTTCTCAGTGGCAATCATTGGTTTTGAATTTCCATAGCCACAGTAAGCTTGTCGAATACCCATGCCGTAGTTTCAGGTAAGAAGCTGATAATTTAAGTTAACTAAGTTATTTAGGAAGGGCTCGGTGCGAACAGCAGCTTGTAAAAATATCCAGTTTCTGTTACTTTTTGGCTTTCTTGTCGAAAAATTTGAATAGGAGATGATCAGCATTTCTTATTTACAAGGGCTTTGCAAGTGACTGAGTTATAATCTATGAAAGCAGAATCTAAACTTATGCAATCATTTGTGAATTCCTTCGTGATCTCGGAGGAATGGCTGGCGAGCAAAGATTAAAGTGCACCTGAACCCAATAATTTTTT